TTAAGCAGCTGAAAATTGAATTGGTCCAGTGTCACCCTTGAGAAAACCCATTCCAGTTCTGGTTTATTTATTAATCTGTCCCCATGTGTATCTGTAGGACCACAACCAAAGACCATCCTGAGGCAGGTTTATTAACCTGAGCACCACAGCCACAAAAAATAAATTAATCAGCTCTGGGCTGCATTCAGAGCCATGTTGGAAAACCTGATGCCTATGGTGGAAATTCCCAATGGGTGAGAGTTCTGCTATTCTGGATGTCTCTGTACCACCCTCCAGCTCAGCAGGACATGCCTGGGATCTCTTGAGTCTGAAACACTTTAGGGCTGCAAATGTTCACCCACAGGAATCAGGTTGTGGGTCCATATTAATGTCTGTCTGCAACAAAATAGTCAGAATTTAATTAGATGGCACTCTCATTTGACACAAACCAGTCCAATTGCTGCATTTTGCATTTGTGCAAAGCACTTCTGTGCACAGGGAAAACACAGGACAGCCTTCACCTCATTTGCTGTAATTTCAAACAATTTATTTATTAAAATGGAAGGCATTGAGGACACGAAGAATTCCTGCTGGGGAAACTCTCCAAGTATAATGGATTTCTCTGAAGCATTTTGAAGCATCAGGGAGATCCTGGAATGGTTTTATAATTCTGTTTTGATTCCACTGGCTCTTACACACAATTTGTATCCTGTATACTTGACACTTGTCATTAAGGGATCCCCATTCTTCCTGAGTCTGTGTTACAATTAATCCTCTTCTAAGCAAATCACCACAGGCCAGATGTCCTCAGCAAAGCTTAAAAACATTCAAATGCACCCTACCCTTCCTTTCCCCTTTATGATCTGCATTCATTCTGGGGATTTCTGGCCAGCAGAGGTTTACATGTCACAATTCACCAGATGCAGAAGCAGCAAAACTCTAAAGCAGAGGCTGAAACCACAGCCTGGCCCCATTTGCTTCTCCTTGGCCTGGGGTGTGAACACAACCAGGGCCTTCCAAGGGGAAAGACAGAAGGCAAGAGAGATAAGAAGTTTCAGCCCAAGTCTAAAAAACCCTAAAATCTGATAGGAACCTTCAAATGATACAGCCTAAGTCAATCTGGGGCCTGCAATTAGACAAGAAATATATCAAGTCCCAGAGAGAATACAAATGTCATGATTATGAAACAAGTCAGAGAGAATAGAAAGAGGAACATCAAATAATTCTGAGGGTCTCAATTATTTTAGAAGGATTATTTAGATAAAAATCAGTGATATAATAAAATATTATATAGTAATGGAATAAAAGAATTCAGTAATAATTCTGAGGGTCTCAGCTATTTTTAGTTCATTCTCATTTTGTCCCACACAGTTATAGTCCATATGAAGTACATGTTTTTCACAACAAACTGCAATGTATAGCTTAAACAGCAGTAATTTCATTTAGCATAACCTAAAAATTCTATGTTCTATGAGCAATGATGTGAAGAAAACCCTCAACATTCAAGCTTCTCAAGGTGGATAAATCCACATGAAAACATGAAAAGTCCTGCTTTAATTTTTCCCAGAAGAGCGGTGTGTGTGTAAGGCTCCAAGGTTTTTTTTGGGGTTGTTTTTGCAGTGATGCTCCCTGGCAGTGATGGAATCAGTCACCTTCCCACCCCAGCAGCTCTCCTGCTGCAGCTGACCACTTGAACGCTCTGCAAGCTTTCCATCTGCTCCGTTTGCTCCTTCCAGAAGAGAAACCTGGCCAGGAAAACCCTTGCCAAGCAGCATGGATTTTTATGCCAGGTACCAGATCATCAGTTGGAAGTTGTACAATTGTAGAGCGGTTTGGGATGCAAAGGACCTTAAAGGTCATGTTGATCCAACACCCTTGCCATGGGCAGGGACACTTTCCACACTTTCCAGGTTGCTCAGAGCCCCGTCAGACCTTGCCTTGAATATTTTCAGGGATGAAGAGTCCACAACTTTTCTGGGCAACCTGTGCCAGTGCCTCACCACCCTCACAGTAAAGAATTTCTCCCTTGCATCACATCTGACACTACCCTTCCACAATTCAAAGCCATCATCAGTTTGTAGTGCTCAATTACCCGTCTTGCCCTCTCCAGCTTTCCTGTAGGTCCTTTATGAATATATAAATTTCCTATTTCCAGTAGGAAACTGGTGTAAACTCTCCCCAGAACCTTCTCCTCTCAGGAAAAAATTCCAACTCTCTCAGCCCATCTCCAGAGAATGCACAGATCCAGTGAAATCAGCACATGATTAATTTCTCTGCACTCCCTATGGAGGGAAGGGAATCTTCTGGAAAGAAGCAGGATGATACAGATGGCATCATCTAGTGCCTCTTTAAATGAAGCCAGCACCTTCATAAACAGAACGCTGAACAAGCTAATTCAATTATTCCTTGGAGAATTTAAACGCATCATTTTCCTCTGACTTTGGCCTCTTTGTAGGCATGAACACATACATAACAAGTCTTTTACCTGTATATTTAGTATATACCAGTATATACCTATATATATAATACATACCACTTTCTTCTGGTTTATGTATATAATATATACCACTTTCTTCTGGTTTATGTATATAATATATACCACTTTCTTCTGGTTTATGTATATAGCATATACCACTTTCTTTTGGTTTATAACAATTTTATTTCACTGTTTGCTGTTTTATTTCATTTCTAAGAATCAAGGCGTAAAACTGATGTAAACTAATGTAAAACTACAATCAGAATGTATGATTAGTGAATGAAACTATGAAGAAACTGAAATATTTATTTAAAATCTGCATTTAAATACAGTACTATTGAATAAATATATATCAGCTAATTCCCCCTTTGCTGAAATAAAGGTTCCCCTTGAATATAATTTTTACCAATCGTCACTGACTGCACTCAACCAGAGACCTGCCAGTAACTGACAAATTATTTTGTGGTGTGACTCACCTGAAGCCAAAATTCCCTGCAAGTCCCAAACCACAGAGTTAAAAAGTTCATGTTATCTACATGTATTTTTAAAAGGAAAAAAGGAAGAATAAAATATCAATTACTGTGCCAGTGGTGTGCCAATCTATTTCTGTTCCCTTCTTTCCCTTGTAGCATCTCCAAGAATGGCCCCTCCAGCTCCTCACCAGAGCCACCCGCAGGTGGCAATGTTGGATCTGTTTTTAAGGATGCTGTTCCACAGAGTGGCCCCAGGATGTAGCACAGTTGCCTTCTCCTTGCTCCTATTTTCCATTTCCTGCCCCATCACCTCTCGTTTATTTTCATCCTACACTGGACACTCACTGTAAGATGCATTCCATTGCTGAATTCACTTCTAGTTTGTTGATACTCGTGCTTAATCTCCTGTCATTTACAGATTTCCTAGAAGGGTTTTGTGGAGTGATAGGATTTGGGAAGAATTAGATTTTGTTGCATTCTCTACCTGATGCTTTCTGTAGCCAATACTTGGCCGACCTTGGCAGGCTCTAAGGAGGTGTAAATTATCCCTCCATGCTCAGTACATTTAAGACTCCTTTGGGCCAAGGATTTATTCCAGGAGCCTCAACACTTTAAGTACTGCTACAAGGAAGAGAGTGTATAATTTATCTTCCTTTTCTCTTCTCTCCACAGACACAAAGCTGGCAAATGCTAAGTCCTGCTAGTACCTCATTATCAAGGACTCTGAGGACAGCAGCGAGGGAAGGTGATAACAGTGGGAACTCCAGAATTAATTCTGGCACTCTGTTGTAATGAGGAATACACAGCCAGAAGGGGGAAAGGAGCTTTTGCTCATCTGTAGCATCTCTCAAGGATCACACATCTCTGAGCCCAGCTCTCTTACTCAGCTAGAGGAGAGAAAGAAATTCTCACCTCCTTCAGTAGCAGCACTAGAAAGAAACCAACACTCACAGATGGTGATTAACTACTGCAGGGAGCAAGAGATTATTTTAAATTCTTAGTCCCTTTTATAATCCCCTTAAACCTAATATTACATCTGTAGTGAAGATCATCAGTTCATATTGTTCCATTATCCTGCACATGTTGTGGGGGTGGTAAAAGGCTGCAACTCCTGTATTTTGGTTATTTTGAATCTATTTTAAACTGTCTGAAAAATACACTTTTTGATAGTCTCCCATTTTACCAGAGTATCACAGTCAGGTCCATGTCCTTCAAAACAGAGTGAGAAAGAAAAAGAAACTAATTATATTTCCATCACAGATTTCAAAGGTCTTGAGGAACAGAAGCAAGCCCCAGAAGGTACCAGCAGTTTTGAGGGGAATAACTAAGCCCATCCAGGTTTAAGTATTGAATTTAAGAACTAGGCACAGGAGGATTCTTCTTTTGTCACTGAATACAATAAGCGTTTTTGGAGGAAATTCAGCCATTAAACTTTCTACAAAAACTGTATCAGAGCTGAAAAATGACTGTGCTTCTAATTCAGGCATCTGAGGGAGTAGGAATTCCTGATTTCTCAATTCTTGATAATCTGTTTTTACAGAAAAACAATCACATGGCTACTATGATTTTTTTTTTCTTTTTACAATAGTTTGCATGAGCATGGCAAAAGGAGTACAGAAGCATTGATAACTAGACTAGAAATCACTGATTATGCTTCAGATACGTGCAGCAGCTGAAAAAAAATTTCATTGTGTGCTTATTTCAGATCTGGAAATTATCTACTGTGAGTGTTGCTATCCCACAGGAGAATATGCCAACATTTGAACTTTTGTTTCACACGCTTTACTACCAGCAGAACTGTGATCAAGGGGAAAAAAAAAACCTTAACAGTAATCCCACCCTCTGGAGAACTTGCTGCTGAGAAACCCTGTCCTGGAAGCTGCCAGAAGCTCTAATCAGCTCATATATCAAAGCTGGAGTGCAGCCTGTCTGCCTCCCCCCAATCCCAGCAAGAGTTAAAATAATTCTCATGGGTCAAGCTACAAATCTAAGAATAAGCAAGAAAATATGCATTACTACACCCTGCAAGATTGTGAATGGATGATGGTGATCAAGACAATGCTTTGATGCTGCATCCAATACATTCCTAGACATATTCCAAATCCTGCATTTCTGTGGATTTAGTGAGCCAGGGGTGAACAGAGGCATGTGGTTTGCTTCCACGCTTTATGCCAGGCAGGCACGCTCACATTTTTTGCCTTTGTTGGCATTCAAGCAGGGTGAGCTGTCGCTTTAACAGAGCAGTTGATTTATCACAGGCTGAAAGGGTGAAGCAGGCTGTTAGAGTCAGGAGACATTTCTTCCTCTTTCCATTACAAGCCTTTAAAAGGTCACACGGTCCCAGCCAAGGCACCGCTATCAGCCCCAGACCTGAGGAGCACATGTGACTGTGGCTCTACAGCTCCTTCCCACTGGGTTTACACACTTTCTCTCATGTGGGCATGGATTAAACCCCTAATTGCACTTTCATCTTCATAAGTCCATCCATTTTCAGTTAACTTTCTCAAAATCATTCAGTTAACATCAGAAAGAAACAAGAAAGACCAACCAACCAGCAAAGCTGATTGCTCCCCAAGATAACACCTTTCTTTTTTTGTGACTTGTGCAGTGTGAGTAGCAATTTCAAACCTGGACACTCAAGAGGGCCATCCCTTTTCACTGCAGAGCGTGTGATTATCCCCAGTTTGCCCAAAGCCACCAGAACACTGGGAGGCAGCTGGAGAACAGCAAGCACAACAACCCCAGTGTTGGCTTAAGGAGCCTCCCCCATCCTGAAAAACAGGTAAAAATTGTGGGATGATCTATGTGAATCCTGCAGTCTTCTTAAGCCCTATAAAAACCCTCAGATTTTCAGATGAATGCATATTTCCTTTCTTAGGAATGCTGATAATAATACTGGCTCTAATGGGTGGGTTTATTATTCTATTATATTTTTTACCAGCTGTAGAGCAAGTGCCTTTATCAAGGAAGCAGCATTATCAGAACCTTAGTACTATCAACTTTGGTACTTTCACAGAGTAAAAATTACTTTCCGAAAAAAGTAGCCAGCCCTGCAAGTTTTACTGGGGCTACTTTTAGATAATATTATTGCTCAATTGAGCTAAAGCAACCCTGGAGTATCCTGGGTGAGCAAGTGGGACTAGAGGTCAATAACCTTGGATGTATTTTATTCAACAG